TGCCCGGCCCGGGGCCCGCGCCGGCGCCCGGGTGGAAGCGGGCCTTGGCGTAGTTGCTCACGAACTGGTCCTGCAGGAAGGAGCCGGCCATGGCGTAGCGGGCCCCGGGCACGATCTGCGAGCGCGGCGAGTCGTTGGGCGAGGGCGTCAGGCGGTCCATGTCGCAGCCGGTGTAGATCCTGCGGGGCGGGGAGAGACAGAGAGAGAACCGAGGGGTGGCGCGGGGGTCCCCGGAGCTGGGGTGTGGGCAGACGGGAAGGCCCCCTCCACTCTTCGCCCACCCGCACACCCTCCACCTGTCACTTGCTGTCCAGGATGGAGACTGCACGATGCCACAGACCTGCGTCCTCCCTCAAATAAATCGTGGGATTCTAAAGGGGCCAGTGCGTCTGTGCAGGGACCTGAGCAAGATACGGAAAGGTTTTCCTCTTCTCTTGCTCTCTCTTGCCAAGTGGACAGGGGACTGAGAGAGGGAGGGGCACAAGCAGGGGTCTTTCACCTCACTTCTCCCACATTTGTGTACGTATTCGGGGCAGATTTACCCAGGGGCCAAGATGCTATTGCCCAAAGGGCCTTTCTTCTACGGTCAGAATTTCTCAGTGAAATTTCTAAGCAGGGTACCCACTTCACCCTTTTAAGACCTCCTGTGTCCGTTTGATTGTTCAGGTGATTTCCTCAACTTTATCTATACAGTCTAAAAAAAAAAAAAAAAAAGCCCTGGGGGAAAATAACACAGTACTAGTCTAAGACTGCCCTTCACCAGTGTTCTGGGACTGCAGCTGGAAGTCTCCAAGGTACTTAATGTCTATTGTTTCCCCTGTTTGAGTCTTTAACCCCCACCTCTCCTAATACAAACAAGAATTACTATTTAGAAACAATAGTTATCCATCAAAAATATTCCTACACAAAGATAAAGTGCTCTTTACTCTGATCTTCTCTCCCCAGGTTTTGATCCATTACTGGCAAAAACTTTGGGGCAAACTCACAGTGCAGTCATCAATCTACTCCAAGCAATGAGCCACTAATAATAGCTAACCCTTATACAGCTTGACTATATGCCAGGCAGGGTGAGTTGGGTACTATTGTTATCCCACTATACCGATGAGGAAACTGAGGCAAAAGAAAGTTAAATAACTTGCCCAACCACCGGCAGTAATTATGTTGTTGGGAATTACCTTAAATAAAATAATCAAAGATTAACTTTAGGCCCTGGGCCTAGAAAATCCCATTAGAATTGAGAGGAAACCAAGGATTGGATGAAGATTGGTAGAAGTGTTTTCTCATACACATGCACACATGCCTTTTTATTTAGCTCACACATAAATGTTTTAATCTTTAGTCAACAGACTGTTTTGAAGGAGAGCCTCAGTCTTGTCAGACCTTAATCCTTTGGGGAGGAGATTCCCTGGTGAGTGGCCAAGCAAGCTCCTACTAGCCCCTGAACTCTTGTACCTCTTCCTGTTTCTCCAAAATTGAGCCATGCCCAAATAGCAACTTAAAAGGGGAAAGGGAGAGTGTCAAAACCACTCAATTCTTCCCTATCCCCTAAAAATGTAAGGAATTTCTTTTAGGTGTAGATAAGGAAGATTTTAATGAAAATTTGTAGTGATTTAAGATGAAAGGGAAGTGGATTTTCCAACAGAAGGCAGCCAGAGGAGGAGGGGCAGGTGAGAGTTATGATTTGGCTGCACAGGTCCATTCTGTCTAGTGCACAAATTTCCCTTTGGAAATCTAATTCCAGTTTTAAATAAGAGGGAGGCAGGAAGGGAATATAACTAGCAAGGTGCAAATATCTTCTCTGTTTATAGCCACAATATTTTAAAAAGAAGAAAGCAGTCTGCAAAAGATACAGTTTAGATGCCCATCCAGGTCCCACCCACTTGGGATTACCAAATTGATTTGTGCAAAATAAAATGCTTTTGAACAGATGTTCACAACAGAATTAAAAGCTCAGAATCTACAGGACTCTCCTCCAACATCTCTGGTCTCTTGGGCCACACACTTTCCACTGTACCGAGCACACCTTTTTAGATTGTGAGGACTACAATATCCAGGTTTTTATTGTGGAAGATCATATTAATAAGGTTTGCTTCCTTTAAGCTACTTCTGAGGGATATATATGATGGCTATAGACAGTAATAGCAATGACTGTCTTTTAAATTGTTATAAAATATCAAAAGGGAAGGTTAGTATCTGCTTGGAGATGGAATAGAAGTATCCACTCATCCACACATCTGATCTATTCCTAGGCAAAGACAGCGTCAACTTTTTAGCTCTATCCCAGGCACTCAATGTAAGCCATGAAATTAAGATGTGTGTACCCTTCCATGTTATGGTCAGAAAAAGTGGGGAAACCCCACAGTCCAGATTGAGATCTTGCTATATAACACTGCCTGAACTCTTAGGCACTATGAGTGACCCTTGAGTGAGAATGCCAGAACAAACCCAGAAAGCGTTCATTTGACACCTACTGTTGCCCCTAGAGAACAACCTTTTGATAGAAAAGAGATATAGGTAAGGGAGGCCTGAAGAAAAGGGAATCAACACATTTAATTAAATCACACCTAGATACAAAAGAAAGAGAAAACATTTTTCTTTTGAAGCTTACACATAACACACAGCAAGAGCATCTGAGTCTTTCCCAAAGCCTGAAATGACTAAAACAGGGGTTCTGCTCATGAACTCGCCTGTGGTGGGTGCACATTTTTATTCAGTCCTTGGTAAACTTGCACAGGAAATGCTATTACACAAAACTTGGAAATGGGTAAATAAAAGTCACATATGCCAAGGAGACTGTAACAACTGCCAGAGCCACATGCACTTTCAGGCAGAATTGCCCGTTTCAGACACAGACAATCTGAGCTGAGCATCTGCAGCGCCACATACAGCACCCGCACCCAGGAATGGGAACAGGAACGGGGCAGCTTCCCCAGCCAACCAGCCCCAGGGGCCCGCCAACAACTCTGTAATTCACAGGAAAGCTAAAAATAGGTGGAGAAAACCTTTGACCAAATCTGCACAAGTAACAAGTCACAAGGTCACCAGAGAGAAGAGTAACCAACAAAAAAGGGAAAACCTCCAAAACAACCATCTTCATACATTCTAGCTTCCAAAAGTGTGGTACATAACAATCCACCTTTGATCTAAAGTCCAATTCCACAACTATCTGAGAAGGAAGGCACGAAATTACTTACGTATCATAATTATCTCGAAATCCTTTTGCAAAGGGGTTGTGATCTATTTTCAGTTGTGTAATCTGGGAAAGAGGAAAAAAAAGAATGAATGTTGTCTCACCTTCTATATAGGAAGATTGAGAAAATATGTTATCTGACACTTTTGCAGAGGCTCAAGGCCTACAATTTCATTACATAGCAGGATTTTCCTAACTGAAATCTTTGAGGGAATGAGTGGGAAGGAAAACAGAGAACGTGTCATGAAAGTTATGAACGACATATTGAAATTAATGACGCCTAAAACTAAAGGATTGCTTTCAACTAGCTTTCCTGTGTGTTGTAATTTGGTTTAAACTCACATTTTTAAAATGATTTTGACACACAATACACCTAGACAAAAATCTTTAAGGGGGACTTGAATTCATCACCAAATGTTGCCTATCTTTAATGTTTCACTCTATTTTAAAAAGTTAGTCGCTTCTGATTCACAACCTAAGAAACTGCAAGTTGCATCGCAAAATCAGGTTTGATTTAAAATAAAAGCTCGTTTTAATTTTTGATATTTTCATTTAAGAAAACAAACACAAAACCCCCTATCATTCCTAGTAGTCAAATCAGCCACTAAAATCAGTTTTTGCAAAGTTGCAAATACTGAAAAAGTTCAAGTACTAGAAAACGCATTCCATAGCCCTCAGTAATTTGATTTATCGTAGATTTCACATATATGAATGTGTATATTCTTTTGATCTCTCAGAACAGTGGTGTTTGTTCATTTCAGCCCTCAGTTCTGAGATTTGGGGGGGAAAAAAAGGAAGAAAAAAAATTTTTTTTAGATACCAAAGCTTGCCAAGAATAAAATGCAGAGGGAAATCTGCTTGTTTTCTAAAGGAAAGAGAGACTAAAAAAAAAGAGAAGCAGATCTTAATCTGTTCTAGTTTAAGGACTAAATTAAAACTCCCAAAGGAAGAGGCCCTAGAAATCCTGGCCACCTGAAAGGTGGCTCGGGTGACCCGCGCCGGAGACACATCGTAAGCAATTTCCCACCGGCTTGATCCTTAAGGAGGGTGCCTAGCAGGCCCCTCGCCCTACGCCTAAAACGCGCAGCAGAGTCAGCTGTTGCAGATGTTAGTGCTGCCGGTGCCCCAGCCCTGGGTGGCCGGGGGATATTGGCGGGAGCGGGAGACGTCTATGCCGCCCGCCGCGCCCAGCCCCAGGTCTCCTTACATCCGTGTTCTGGTAGGCGGTGACGGCGATGAACTGAGTCTCGGGGAAAGTGAATGTCTGCACGCGGCCGGGCTGGCTGGTGTCCTCCGTGCCGTCCTCGTTCACTTCCACCACATGCAGGCGGGGCTGGTACTTGTGCAAGGACTGCAAAACCACCATCTGTCCGGCGGAAAGAAAGGGGAGCGCCGGGCGGCGTGTTAACGCGGTCGCTG